GCACTTTAAAGACTAACAAGATGGTTTATTAGATGATGAGCTTTCGTGGGCCAGACCCACTTCCTCAGATCAAATAGTGGAAGAAAATAGTCACAACCATATATACCAAAGGATAAAATTAAAAAAAATAAATTTAATTTTAATTGTATCCTTTGGTATATATGGTTGTGACTATTTTCTTCCACTATCAGATCAAAGGAAGTGGGTCTGGCCCACGAAAACTCATCACCTAATAAACCATCTTGCTAGTCTTTAAAGTGCTACATAGTCCTGTATTTTGTTTCAGCTACACCAGACTAACACGGCTAAATTTCTATCACTATGACAATTTAGTCATTTTATGACAACTTATCTGAAGACATTTCATGTTTTCCCTCTACCTTTAAGTCAGAATTTTATTACAGTTATGGCCCTTACTAGTTGCCACTCTTGTACATGTACATTTATTCAAATATTGTCTGACTTGCCTATCTTCAATGGAAAGAAAATAAAAATACTATGAAAACAGTTGCTGGTATGTCATCACCTCCAAAGAGTCTTAATGAAAATGATAAATAAAATTACTCCAGACAGAACATTTTCTCTAGCATACTGAAGAGCAGCTCTAGAACATCACTATTTCCAGAGCCATTAGCAGCTTGGAATATAAATCAGATAACCAACAATATTTTCTCTTTTAGATTACTACCTCCCTCAACTAAAAATGATTTAAAATGCTTAAAGTAATTCCTTTGATGGCCAACTCCCCAGCCCACTCCTCAAAGACCTCAAACATTGACATCACATTTGAATATACTTGCTGACATAATGCACACAGTAATGGGCCTGCCTGAAGAGGCTGTTGGATAGTAAGTTTGCAGAGACTGGATAATCCTAAAAACAATTTCCAAGAGGGAAAACAATTCACAAAAAGCTTCTGGCCTTTTAATTTTTACCCCCTTTGAAAAGTAGGAAAGAAAAGCAGCTCTATCGGTATATGGTTAAGAATAAGAAACTAAAAAACTATTTTTACAAGGTCTTACCGGTGAAACTTAAATGTTTTGGCTGCATATTTTTGCCTAATTTGACATGTTAATGGATAATTTGGAACAGTTAACATCTGTGTTCTAGAAGACAGTCTTCTAAACATCTTAAACCAGGAATGTGGTTAGCTTCTTAATAGATAATCAAAACTTCAGTATTTATGGATTATATTTTATATATGGTCAAGGGCTTTGTATTTATTGGGGAAGAGATTATAAAGCAGCTCCATTCAAATTTGCTGTTTAAAGTGATCACTGACAGACATCTAAATTGCCTTCCCTCACCAAACTACTTTAAAACTCCTGCCTATGCCCCTTTGGTTCTGCTTATACCATGCCAAGTTTCACAGTATCCAAACTAACAGAGAGAAAACTTTAACTAGTTTAAAGCCAGGTCTCTTCTAGGGGGCAATGTCAAACTAAGTTAGTCAACTTCAGCTACCTCGATAGCATAGCTGGAGTTGATGTACCTTACTTTGAGTTACTGTGGCATCTCCACTGGGGTGGGGGAGGTCGATGGGAGAAGCTCCCCTTATTCTTCTTGCTCCATTGGAGAACTGGAGTCAATGGGAGTGCTAAATTGACCCTCTTCCCCCGCCAAGAGATCCATCCCTGTAGCGCCAATCTCTCAGTAAGTATAGACAAGACCTTAGCTTCTTCAGCAACATATCAACTCCAATTGCAAATCCAAGTTTTGCCTTCAGTTACATTCACATAGCTTCCTTTGAAGATAATGAGTTTGCACAAGTGTAATGGATGGAATGTGCCTGCAAAATTTTCAGTACCAAGGAGTTGTGGGTGGGTGAAATGGTGAGTCACAAGATACGGTGAAAAAAAGAAAGTCCTTTCGGATCTGAATTTGTATCTGCAGTTCTAACATTTAGGGAAACTACGTATATTTTTATTTTACTTGCTGATTCCAAATAAATGTGGAACAATGCTGTAGTGATATTGGTACAGAGTCACTTTTTGGACACTATGTTCAATTCTAAAGATTGCAAGTAGATAAAGATATTGCCCTCCCTCCCCTTCTTTTTAAGTTTTTATGAAGAAATTTTAAGACCACAGAAATGTTCCCATAATTAGAGATTCCAGCCACCCCACTGCCCCAACCAACCAAAAGCTTTAAGTTGGGGGTGGGGGGGAGGGAAGGGGAACTGAAAGTGAGAGCCACACAAGCCGTGACTCATGTGGCCCCCAACTGAAGGTGAGACACCCACAATCCCCTCACAAACTCCCCAAAATCCCATTGCACACCAAAGGTTCCCCTCCCTTGCTTTAATTAAAAGAACATTTCCCTGTAGTATTTGAAACTCAAATACTACAGCATTAAGAGCCAGACATTAAATATGAGAAGATAAGTTTTAACACACTTCTATATGTTCTCATCCTGTAATTCTAGGCTCCCATCTAATACAGTAAAAATTACAAAGAACTGGTTATATATATTCTCCTGAAGAACCAGGAAAAAAGAGTTGAAAAGCTAGAGCTTAATTTCCATTATACAAGATTGGGTTTTGACCCTGCAATCTGTGATCTGGCTGAATTCTTCTACACATGGAGTCCCATTCCAAGTCAATGGGGCCACAGAGAGATGCACAGTCCTTGCATGAAACAGCTTGCATATTTGCAACTTACCATTTGAGTTTGTCTCTCTTCAAATGAGTTTTAATCACTTGATAAGTTATAGGCATACAGCACTTCCCTTCAGCAAAAACAAAGTTTGAGACCCCTCATTTTTAAAAACAGCTTTATTTTGACTGAATGATTACAATTTTAAGTCCATAGATACTCATAGTTCAATTAGCAAATCTCAATTTGCCATGTAAACAGTTCATTCTCTACCAAACTGCTGTACAAGAACTTTATAAAATACAGATTAAGTGACATTTTCTTCTGCACAATATTCCTGATTAGTGCACTAACATCAATTAAAAAGTCAAATTGATTAGTTTGCAAAAACATTACCTTTCTAATTATGGATTAATACAAAATGGCACAAAAAAGAAAAAAATCAAGTTAGAAAGTTAAGAAAGTTGTAAGTATGGTCAAACTTCTGAGCAAGTTGCGTCAGTTCAAATGAGCAGGATCTCAAATTCAGTGTCCATAATTGGCATTTAGAAGTAATCTATTAGCCTTCCTCTCTCGCTGACTGCGTAAGAAACTTTAAAAAACAAAACTGAAGTCTGTACTGTTCAAAGTATTTGTACCATAATGTCAGGTTCTGGCCATTGGAATTCAAATGCAATTGGGAAACTACAAATTTTCAGTATTCCCAATACCATACTTAAGAAGTCCACAATTAGAATTATACCCAGATTTTCAGTAAGACATGTGCAATTGTGCATAATCATTGATTAAACAAACACTTATTTTAAGCATGAGAATACCAGATGTGTGCATAATTTAGGTGCATAAACACTAACTAAAAATATGCCTTAAGTCTCATTTCTACATTTAAGAGACAAATCAAAAGGCCTATATTAATAAATTACTGCCATCCATTTTACCTTTATAATAGGCTTTTCCTGGCACATTGGTCCCTACTGCCAGATCAAGACAAATGAAATCTACGAAAGATATTTCTTAGACACTTAATGCCTAATCACCAGTTTAAAAATAATTTGACAATAAGTGTGGTGTCCCAATTAGAATGAGTACAGAAAAGTCTGTTTTTATTTGGCAAAACTTAGAAATATCAAAGCAGATTATGCCCCGCTTTATCAGAATTTTTGATTAGCCCAAAATATTTAGAGGTGTTCAGTAAGCTTACCATTGAAAAGTACATTTATAAAGCCGATGGACTGTTGTCTTGACAGTACAGCTTCTCAAATCCAAGAATGGAAGGAATTTATACCAACTAGTGGTACCAACAGTCATTTATCAGATTTTTAAAAAGCAACAGTTATAAAGTATTGAACCATCATTTACTGAACAGCTTCAGAAGTAGCCAAAAATGATTGTAGGTGTATTCTCACATAATTTAAATAATATTTATCTCCACAGTCCTATCTTGTAGATGCCCATATGATAAGTGCAAGAACCACTGCTCCAATGGCAAGTACAAGAATGATGATGCATATTTTCTTTCGGGACTTGCGCTGTCAACACAAAAACAAAAAAAATATTGTGCAGTGTTCAGAACTTTTTAATTGCTTCTATGGTTCTGTTATTTACACAGTCTAAACGAGCGGTGTACTTAAAAGACAATGAAGTCAGTGAGTGGTTAACAGGCAAAAGTGAAACTGGAAACAGTGAAAGTTATAACTTCACTCTTTAGCTTTCAAAGGCATTTGTCTCCCCCTCCCCCCAACACAAATACCATTCTCCCTGGCATCTCATAGGAAATTAAGGAATTATAGTTTTTTCAACATTAAGGGAAAGGGGAGGCACAGTGGAAGGAGTAGACTGGAAAAGAGGTAGCTTGGGGGAGGCAGAGGCTATGAGTTAGTTGGCGGATAGAAGCCTGGGGGCAAGGAGACAGAACGTGTTCTAGGGAATGAAGAAATCATATGTATAGTAGCCCAGTGTCAGAGTCTGTAACGCCGAAATGCCAAGTACAAGTATAATATAGTAGCCCAGTGTCTGAGAGTCTGTAATTCTGAAATGCTGGCTGTTCCCTGTGGTGGGTGCTGTTGCCTGAAATGCTGGCTGTTCTCTCTGGGAAGCCCATGCTGAATGGGGAGTGCGGGGCCCAAACGTCTGCTTGCTCCCCCACGAGCGCCACGACAGGAGGCAAAAGGGGGTGGGGTTGTGACGTGCGGCATGACAGCGGCTCTAGGCCCTGCCCCCTGGCCGTGAATGTCACCTCCCCGCCCCTCTTCACCTCCCGCAGTGGCGCTCGGCTGACTTCTGTGCTGCTCAGCCAGGCCGCTGCGTGAGAGCAAGTGACGCAAGCGACAGTTTGGGCTCCGCGCCCCCCATGCAGCATGGGGAGTGTGGCGCCCAAGCGGCCATTTGTGCTCCACGGTCCCCCGAGAGGCAGGAGGGGGAGCAGAGCTGGGGGGAGGGGGAGAGGAAGGCAAGAGGAGGAGAGAAAGAGACGGAACGAGAGACCAGAGGCTCAGGAGAGAAGACCTAATTGGCTAGTTATGAAGAAGAGCCCAGATAAGAAAGACTTGGACTGGAACTTGAACAGGAACCTGAAGAGGATAAATGGAATGAAGAATCAATTGGTAAAGTAGGGTAGAGCAAGACAAGACAAAGAAACCCTTCTGCCACTGTTCATGACCACTGGAGGCACTCCTTAACCTGCAACAGAACTCAGGTGCTCGAGTGTCACCATTCCTCCATTGTCAGCAAACTTATAACATCCACTGGCAAAGTGTGTTCCTCATCTTCCCTTTACTAGCTGATCCACATAAAGGATGACAGGTTCCAGCAAATGGGAAAAAAAGTAATCAGGTGTTGCCCTGCCTCTCCCCCACCCTCACCCCTCTGCTGTAGGCAGGGCCTGTTCCTCCCTCTGCCTGTGCGGTGCCTGAGCCTGACCTGGACAGGGGCTGCTTCAGAGTCAAATTTCAAGACTCTCTCCATGGGATGCTAAAACTTGTCAAATAAAGGGCCCCCAGAATTTTTTTTTACTGGGGATAAAAATTATGTATTTTCCTCCAGACTCATGATCCAGCTGTTTCAACAACTTTTGGCTGAAGTTTTCCAGGCAGACACGAGAATGGGAAATTTTCATATCAAATGGTTAAATTTGGAAACTTATAACATCTGAAAGAACAGATTCTTATAATGGGAACACTTAGGCTATCAGCCCCGCTTATCACTTTAGAAAAACATCTGGCCACCTTATTTTGTTTCTTACAAGCCAGCAGACAAATCTAGGTTTAATAAATTGTCCCCACTGATTCATTTGCCAGCTTATAACTGCATTATGTAAAGAAGACTTTAAAAGGCAAAGGCCAACTCGAAAAGAGAAGTGTTCAAGGAAGAGGATGTATTAAGAACAAGATTATCTTTAACACAGGCCAGTATTTAAGAATCTCTGTACAGACCTTTAATAAAATAAGTCTTTCATATATTTCTAAAATTCTTTTTATTTTATTTTTTTTCAGTCAGTGAATATTGTGGAACTGGAAAAGTGTCCTCTAGGAACAGCAGAGACGTATGCAGCCTTGGCAGTGGCAG